TTTCACAATTATTTATTTTAGTACAAACAGTGTTAGTACCTGAATGGGACATGGTATCAGCCTCTAGTAAATCCTGTACAGCATAGTTTAGACTGGAGGAGGGAGAAGCAGCACAATTTGCCAGTTAGTTGTGCTGCAGTGCAAGGAGCATGCTGGAAGGAGGAGAGAGCATAGTGACAGAGAGGTGAGCTCATCAATCTGTTGCATGTATTTCACTGTCCAATCACAGGGACAAGACCTGCAAGCGTTACCAAAGTGCACTAGAGAAACAGCAAGTCTTGTCCTCTAGTAGACAGTGCTGTGTAGCAGAGCTTTGTATATTTCAGCACTGGATGGCCAGAAGTACAAATTCATGAGCAGGTAAAACTGTTCCCTTTTTTTTTTGTTTCATCTGTGTAATTAGCTCTGTCCCTAGCGTTCAGCATTATGAGCTACTAGTAACTGTAACAAATATCAGTTTAAAGGAAAACTATCATGGTTTTATTTATTTCAGGTACTTATATAGTGCTGTCAATTTACACAGCACTTTACATATGTATTGTACATTCACATCAGTCCCTAACCCTCAAGGGGTGTACAATCTAAGGTCCCTAATTCACATTCATACACATACTAGGGCCAATTTAGACAGGATCCAATTCACCTACCAGCATGTCTTTGGAGTGTGGCAGGAAACCCGCACAGGCACAGGGAGAACATGCAAACTCCAGGCAGGAGGTGCCATGGCTGGGATTCAAACCAACCACCCAGGCGGAAGTGCTAACCATTTAGCCACTGTGCTGCCCATTTTGTAACATGCTTTTATTTTTCTAAAGTTTGCAGATCATGAACTGATGACTTAAATCTTTATTTTTATTGTAAGAAATCTTAATTTATATACAATGTACACATTTAAGAGAGACAAATATGTGTTATAAAAGAGAAATATGAAGATGGCCGTTGTTTTTTGATTCCTAACTGCAGGCAAATAGTATTTTCAGAATAAAAATTGCAGCCCCCCCATTCTGTCTTAGAAAAGGTTCTTTCATGACAGAGTCTTAACAATGCAGACTGGGCTTTCTGATAAGAAAATCCAGCATCAGCTGGCCTGACAGATATAAAATCCAGATACTACCATCTCTACTAAAGACGGCCATAGATGGATTGAATCTCAGCTGGTTCAGCAGAGACTCGATCCAAGATTCAATCCATCTATGGGCAGGCTGGTTGTACCCAAGTCGATCCATTGAGCGATTTGGGTACAACCAGCCTGTCGGATTTTTAGCATGCAGTTTCTGCCGGAGGATATAACCACTATCAGTAATCATTGTGCTCTGATGGCTCTCCACCAGCAAAACACAATAGCACTGCAGGAGGGAATCAAACTATTTGTCAGGAATGGAATGGCTAGCAATGGTGGGACTCACCTGCCTTTTGATCTGCAGTACCAGGGCTGGCCAGCGGGTGCTCCCAGCAATCAGAGACTCAACCTTTCAGCCAGCTAACACCTGGAACTGATGATACTGGTGTATTTAAGGGATGGCCAGACTTGCAGACTCTGCCTTGGTGTTGTGTTTGTCCTGGGCCCTGTATCTGTCCTGCATCCTGTTTCTGTTCCTTTGCTGACCCTGCCTGATCTGAACCGCTGCTGACTTCTCCTGCTCTGATCCCGGCTCGCTCCTGACCATCCCTCTGCCTGACCCTCTGTACCACGCTGCTTGCTACCTGTTCTGATCCCTGGCTTATGACCCTGACCATCCCTCTGCCTGACCCTCTGTACTACGCTGCTAGCTACCTGCTGAACCTGGCCTGTGACCCCGACCCATATCCGCTTGCTCCCCCTGTACCTACCTGCCCTATTGATATTGACCCGGCCTGCCTGACGACGCTTGCTTGTATGTACTGTTATCTGTGGGTGGTTGGTTTGGTTTGTTTGCACTGTATTATGTTTTAGTATTGCACTGCGTTTATGTTTGTATGGTTAGTGTTAATAAATTATATTGTTTATCACATATCTGAAGTCTGCGTTTCCCTGCGTCAGTCACACACCTCTGGTCACACCTGGGAGCCCTGACACTATTAATCAAGTTTTCTTTCCTTCCCAGTGATGAAAGGAAAGAAAATGACATAATCTATGGCCTGCTTAAGTGTGAGTGTGAAGGATGTGTCCCTGTGTTTGTGTAATCTAATATCCTGCTGTGCAGGTCACAACACTATTCACAGCATAGTAGTAAAACTGAAAGATGTTTAGGCAGCTTTGTTACCTTATATACACCACCTATTGAACCATATTTTCCAGTACATAAAATACATGCAAACTACTTTAAATTCCTTTACTAACAACTATATTTGTATAGAAGATAACCCACATGGAAGAGAAATATATATTTCCAATATATTTAGAAAAAAATTATATATGTGACATATATTTACAATATATTGGCCTACGCTAATATGTTTTTATTTATTTATTTCAGGTACTTATATATTGCTGTCAATTTACACAGCGCTTTACATATATATATATATATATATATATATATATATATAACATTCACATCAGTCTCTAACCCTCAAGGGGTGTACAATCTAAGGTCCCTAACTTACATTCATACATACACATACATTAACCTACCAGCATGTCTTTGGAGTGTGGGAGGAAACTGGAGTACCCGGAAGAAACCCACGCAGGCACACGGAGAACATGCAAACTCCAAGCAGGTGGTGCCATGGTTGAGATTCGAACCAATGACCCTAGTACTGCCAGGCGGAAGTGTAAATGCACTCCAAAAATGTAGATTAAATATATTTTCAAAGACATATATTTGAAAATGTATTTTTAAAAATATTTTTCATATTTTTTTTAATATATAAAAAACTCATATCAACATACAATGTGTGTGTATATATATTATATATATATATATATATATATATATATATATATCTCTATATATATCTATCTATATATATATATATATATATATATATATCTCAATATATTCAATTATATTCAATGCATTTCAAAAATATATTTCAATATATATATATATATATATATATTTTTATTTTTTTTTTTTTTAAATATATTGAATGTGGCCAAAATGGTTGTATTTCTAATATGTGTCAATATATTTGGGAAGAATATTTTTAAAATATATTTAAAATATATTTTTCTTCCACGTGGGAAGAAAGGGCTCTTTCATACTGATGTCAGAAATGCTGCATACAAATGTGTACAATACATAGATTTGTGTGCATTTATAAGCAGCAGTATAGAAGGCCGTGAGCCTATTCACATTAATGCACCTGGCAGCATAATGTTTCACTGTGTTTTTAGCAGCGTGAAAAAAAAAAATAGAACAAAGCTGCATCCAGAAATATAAATTGGATGTTTTTTGCTGTATGCATAACATTTGTGCTAAAGCTGGCCATACATGGATCGAAATTCAGACAGTTCCTGCTAAACCGTCCGAATTTCAATCTATTTATGGGCTAGTTGGTTGTACACGAGTCGATCTATCTATTGGTACAACCAGCCTCTTGGATTTTTCTGAATGATCAGTACCGCTGGCTATAGCTGGCATCACTGATCACTGTGTTCTGGTGGTGAGGAAGGCTGGATGGGGGAATCAGCACTTTTTTTTTTTTTAATGTTCAAGCCTAACACTGTACATGAATGCTGCTCAGGGTTCGACATGCTGATTACACACTTTTGATGTTTATATGTTGGCCCTGAAGGCGTCATTCATGGTGATGCATGCACAGAATGACCTTGATCTTCGATCATTTAATCGACCAAGGTCATTGCGCGCTTACACTCCTGCATGTGTGACTCAATCAGGGCTGACATTGGCGTAATCTGGTGTGGGGTTGGCTACGTATTGTTGATATGTACAAGTCAGCACTGAGCAGCGGTGGCGGCTAATAGGGTTCATTTACTAGATGCTGTTCATCTGTATATGTAGCACACGCGTTACATGTGTACAGCATATGGACAACTTTTTATGCAGCATCTGGCGTAAATCAATACAACCATATGAATGAGACCCAAGGGAAGCCATGCAAGAAAGTCTCTTTCCACCTTCTGCAATCTCCACACATGCAGAACTATTGACAAATCCGCTAAAAAGAGTCATCCCCCTGTGTAATTTATAATCTGCATTGAATAAACAAAAAATAAATAAACAAATTGGGGGGGGGAGAAGAAAAAAGGAAAGGGTTACATATGACATATTACATAGTGCACAATATATTAAAATATACATATTCTGATTTTGTCATAATGAAATACAGTAATAGACTGCATATGACAAATTATGAGAGACAGCATGTGGTACATAAATGTTATGATAAAGCGTTGATCTAGATGGTCATTTCTCAAAATTCTATTAAACACAGTTCAATATATGGAGCATTTTAAATATTTATCCATGGTTGCATTGATAACTGTTAGGTGGTGTTCTGCCAGCTCCAAAAGTCATCAATAATAAATAAATGGGAGAGAAAGTAGGGAGTAGAAGTATTGTTGCTCTGAGAGGCTCTGAAGGTCTCCATGGATCTAATAGAAATAAGTACTAAGGTTATAGATATCGGGAGAATTTTGCAAATTGGAACCAGGAAGATGGATATGGCTCAGATTCATGTTCCTCTCTGTGGATCATTTCCTCCATAAAATGTATTCTCCTTCATATCACACACTCATTCCATCATAGAGGCAATATCTTGTTCTGATGATATGGTGTAAAAGGGTATAGAGCAGGGCTTAAAATTTCAAGTCCTGAGCTACTAGCCAGGCCTTAAGAGTTACTCGCCACCACCATGCACACACAAACAGAGATACCTGTACACACACACAGACATGTACATACACATACACACACAGAAACATGCACACACGTGCACAGAGACACGTACACACACACATACACATACAGACACATGTATACACACACAGGCACGTACAGACACGCATACACAGAGATACATGTACATACACAGAAATACACAAACACAGACAAATGTACATACATACACATGTACGTACATACACACACGTACACACACACACAAAGACACATGTACACACACACATACATGTACATACACGCAGACACATGTACACATGTACGTACATACACACACATGTACACACACACACAAAGACACATGCATACACAGACAAACACACATGTACGCACGCACGCTGTTAAGTGCTCTCTCCTCTCCCCTGAAGCCACCACTGTTTGACAGGATCATGTGACCAGAGTGAGCTGAAATTAGGTAGACACACACACACATACACACACACCCTATAAAACGTTGCAGTACTTCGTTGTTCACGCACAGATCCGGGTACTGCACTCTAGGGGGAGGCAGAGAGAACAGCACACACTCCTTCCTTTGCTTTCACTGCGCTATTGAGCAGTCTGACGGCTCCCAGTGCCAATGGCAGATCCAGCCTGAGCTCCGGGCCTGCTCGGCAAGACGGCCCTGGGGGACACACTCGCCCCCCACCATAATTTCCACTCACCATTGGCAAGCAGGCGAGTGGAAATTTCAAGGTCTGGTATAGAGGGTGTAAAAGTGTAAGTTTCACCCCAATATCTTGCTATGATGGTGTGGACAACAGAAAGAACATCGTCGTAAAAGGTCCCTCTTAATGGATTTAACTGACCTGGGTAAAATCTAATAGAGAGTAATACATGGATTGAGCTTTAGATGTGTATGTGTGATTTATTATAGATTCAAAACACTGTATATTGTTTCAGGAGGGAACAGTAAGGGAACATTCTTAAAAATGTCAGCATCTGTCAGAGATTTTTAGATCAGATTTGTGTGGATCACTAAGACATTCACTTTTGTAGATATCAGGAGAATTTCCCAGAGTGGTCCCAATGGAACCTGGAAGATGGATGTGGCTCAGATTCATGTTCCTCTCTGTGGATCAATTTCTCCATAGATTTTATTCTTCTTCATATCACACACTCATTCCATCATAGAGGGAATATCTTGTCTTTCTGGTATATTATGGTGTAAAATGTCCCTCTTCATGGATTTATTTGATCCGGGTAAAATCGATAAGAGAGTAATACGTAGATTGGGTTTGAGGTATGTGTCCATAATTTCATTATTGATTCAAAATATTTTGTTCCAGAAGGAAAGCAATAATGGAACATTCACCCAAATATGGGACATAGTACCGTCAGCCAACAAACAATGCCAGAATCTGTCAGAGATTTTTGGATCAAATTTGTGTCGAACAATAGAACATTTACCATCGAGAAAGAATTTTATAGATATCAGGGGAATTTTTACAGAGGTCCACATGTAGTCCCATTGGAACCAGGAAGCTGGATATGGCTCAGATTCATGTTCCTCTCTGTGGATCATTTTCTCCATAGATTTGAATTGCATTCATCTCCCACACCCATTCCATCATAGATTGTAAGCTCCATGAGCAGGGCCCTCCTATTCCTTCTGTATTGAACTGTATTGTAATTATACTGTCCCCCTTTATATTGTAAAGTGCTACGCAAACTGTTGGCGCTATATAAATCCTGTATAATCATAATAATAGAAGGAATGTAAGTTTCATGCCCATATCTTGCTATGATGGTATGGGCAGCAGAAAGCATATGGCATAAAAGGTCCCTCTTAATGAACTTAACTGACCTGGGTAAAATTGATAAGAGAGTAATATGTGGATTGAGCTTGACAGGTGTGTCTGTAATTTATTATAGATTTGAAATGTATTCCTTCAGAAAGGAATGGGGGGACATCCTTCTCAAATATGGGACATGGTACCTTTAGCTGGCAAACAACGTCATCAACGTCAGAGATTTTGGATCAACATTGTGTGGCTAACTTGGATATTTATTCCATTGAGAGAGCATTTTGTAATCTTTTTTTTTTCTAGATGTCTTGAAGATATTGAGAGTTTGTGGGTCAGCAGGAGAGATTTATGCCAGTCAGTTGCAAGCCTTATAGAGGGGAGTCTTATGATTGTGGTAGCTTGGTGGAGCTGGGAATTCATATTCTGCCCATTTCTCAAGAGGTAGTAGAAGTTACTTGGAAGTTCAGCACACCAACATCCTTCTCTATTGTTCATCCAGTTTAGATGTTACCCATGTTATTTGTTGTCAGGATTGCAGTTATCCAGAGCCAACAATGGAATGTTCACACAGACATGGTATTCATGTATAAGTAAGAATTCTAATGTGAACATTTTATTTCTGCACTGTGAATCAAACTGTAGAGTCATAACAATACAAGACAGGTCGTAAATACTTGAGAAACCATTGTTAGGTCGCTGCAAAAATACAGAAAAAAAAGTGCCTGACCAAAGCTCAATAAAATAATCTTTGATAAATGTAATTGTTAGGAAAAAAAAGGCATACAAAAAACTTCCAACACATTTTGGCAACACTACTCCCCGTTCATCAGGGGAAAACACAGGATAAAACTTGAATGGGCTCAGAGAAAATATTGATTTCACAGATCTATGTTAGAACCAGCACTGAACTCTCCAAAAGGGACAGTACAAACAAATGGCCACTGCTCCAATCTATAACTGGCCTTCACAGCAAGTAGCACATGGAAGAACAACGCATTTCAAACAATAAAAGAGAAAAATTCCCAGCTCAACTTACCAACCAGACTGCAAGCGACGGAATTGTCCTGTCTGTGTTAAAAACAGGGTTCTAGTTTGCACACAGTTACAAATACATGCAAAAGCTGCACAGCCAGTTCACGGCACCCCAATGTTCTGCAGTTCCTAACTCTATAAAATTTGAGAGCATCCATAGTAGAAGCACATGTCTCATAATGGATAGACTGAGGGCAGGTAAACCTGGAGGGAGCCCACCCCTCCTTAAAAGCACAGGGGCACACTGAGCACCCAGCATATAGCACAATGGCAGCCAAGGTGTCCAGTGTACCCCCTCACCAATATGTCAACAGTACAAACAAATGGCCACTGCTCCAATCTATAACTGGCCTTCACAGCAAGTAGCACATGGAAGAACGACGCATGTCAAACAATAAAAGAGAAAATTTCCCAGCTCAACTTACCAACCAGACTGCAACCGACTGAATTGTCCTGTCTGTGTTAAAAACAGGGTTCTAGTTTGCACACAGTTACAAATACATGTATAAGCTGCACAGCCAGTTCATGGCACCCCAATGTTCTGCAGTTCCTAACTTTATAAATTTTGAGAGCCTCCATAGTAGAAGCACATGCATCATAATGGATGGACTGAAGGCAGGTGAGCCTGGAGGGATCCCACCCCTCTTTAAAGGCACAGGGATGCACTGGACACCCAGCATATAGCACAATGGCAGCAAAGTGTCCAGTGCACCCCCTTGAGCAGCCATTATTAGGTCACTGCAAAAATACAGAAAGAAGTGCCAGACCAAAGCTCAATAAAAGAATCTTTGATAAATGTAATCGTTGGGAAAAAAAGGCATACAAAAAACTTTCAATGCGTTTTGGCAACACCACTCCCCCTTCATCAGGGCTCAACACAGGATAAAACTTGAATGGGCTCAGAGAAAATGTTGATTTCACAGATCTATATTAGAACCAGCATTGAACTCTCAACAAAGAACAACTTGACAGCAGTTACTTAGCAGTAATAGAGCCCTGATGAAGGGAGAGTGGTGTGGCTCTCAAAATGCATTGGATGTTTTTTATGTATATTATATATTTTTACCAACAATTAAAATGACCTTGAACTCTTATCTGGTTTTGGTCTGCCGCTGCTTTCTGTACTGCTGTGGTTTGAGCTACTGTTGGGTGCCCATCATGGAAAGCCTTGCTGAGTGGGGGCTGCCCCGCCAGAGCTATTGAGCCTATTTGAAGTGTTCCTTCATCTGCCTGCACGTGCAAGTCTAAAAGTTCTCTGTGCCTCTTTCAGAAGGTTGTTTTGATGTATTTGGATACATGTTTGCCAAATAAATCATATATAGATGTCACACCTCTGTTTTAGGGGTTGTGGCCTCGCTGGGACTCTTGTGCATATGTTTTGGGCTTGCCCTGGTCTCTCCTTGATCTGGCAAAGGATACCGGAGGTGGCCTCTGCCTTGGTGGGTTCCCCCCGGAGGACCTGTTGATGCAAATTTGTTTATTGGGTGCACTCATATCGGGGATTGCAGCTAACCTAATGAGGCTTATTCATACTATTTGCGTTTCCACTCTATGGGCTATTGCCCTTCATTGAAAATTGCCGGTAGTCCCTTTGGCCTCTGTTTTTCAGAGAGTTGATAGGCCATGCTCATGGAATGTATTCAGTGCACTTTATTGGATAGGATGCATTTATTCAACAGAAAAAGGGATGGTTGGAAGACACATCGACACTAAATGTTAGATTAAATTTCTATCGTACTTTGATTTGTCTTTGATTCTTTGTAAGTCATGCAGTTGCTCTGCCTACATTTCTGTCTACCTCTTTCATGTACTTTACTTTTTTATTTTTTTGTGATTGTCTCTATATCACTGTAAATTACCTATGTGCCTTTTTATTACTGTTCATTCTGCCTTATGTATGATGTACAGATTTTGTAGTCTGCCTTTCAATAAAAAACAAGCAAAAAAAAATTGTATATAATAATCTGCATATTAACCTCCTTAGCGGTATTCCCGAGTGTAGCTCGGGGTAAAATGTCAGTACCAAAAGCGGTAACCACGAGCTACACTCGGGCTTACCATTCGGCGTTGCTCAGGGAGTCCCTGCAGAGCTTACCTTGTTCTTCGCTCCCACGATGTGTCCCCTGCAGCGTCCCCGGCCATCTCCTCCGGCCGATGCCAGCATCCGGCTCCTGTGTTCCGGTCCCTGTGACGTCGGGACATACGGGCGCCGGAACCGGCGGCAAATTTAAAATTTTTAAAAAATTTTATTTTTTAAAAATGATTATTACATAGTAAAACATTGCTGTTTCAATGCATTTCACATACATTTTGTCCCTACTGCTTTGTCCTGTGCCCTGCCTGCATTTTGAATGTTCTTTCTGCATGGAAACTTAGAAAAGTCCATGGCGTCCAAAAAGTGTCCCTTTACATCAAAAGCAGTTTTAGACCAGCTAGAGAACAGCGATAGTAAATCAGAACCACTTGCAGAATTGAGTGATAATGATTCGTGGGGAAATTCGTCATCAGACACTGAAAACGATTTTGCAACTTTGCTCAGCGATGTGCGAATTTGCCTCTGTATTTCAAATGTCAGTGTTTTTGGTTTGATTATATTATTGAATTAAATTTATTATTATTATATTATTATTTTTTATGATTATTTATTAAATTATAATTTATGATTTTGTGTTTCAAATTTTATCCTACCCGGGATGTTTACTAGACTCTTGTTCGTACAGATTTCAGTGAGTTATTCCTAAAAATTACAGCCTACAATAAAAAACTACATATTTCCATGCAAAAAAATGGTACCGCTTTCAGCACAAAAAATCGCAAAGAATCATACCGCCGAGGAGGTTAACTGTAATGAAGGAAATAAAAATCAACAAAGAGTAGAGTGGTGATTCATCAGTATTCTGCTGCTCCTGTATCATCCATTCATCAGGCTG